ACAGAGGTCCACACACTCAAACCTGTGAGCCTAAAAAAATCTCGATGTCCAACTAATTCTCTCAGTTTTAAATACATGCAAACCTAACTGAAAGCCAGACAGAAGGAAAAACTAAAAACTAAAACCCATTATTCCAAAAATCTCAGAGCATGTAATTTGATACTTACACAGAAGCTTACTTGCTTTACTATATCCTGAAAAATCTCAAGAGGCAGATCATGGATTTAGACACCTCTTGAACCACTAGTGCTGCAGATATTATTGAAAATCTCCTGAAATTATTACCTGTTGTTACTACAGTATCCACTGTTCAAAGGCCAGTATTTTCCAAAGACTTACCTCTCTATTGCATTAGCACTGATTTTTGTTCATACAGAAAATAACATAGTATATCCAATGAAGCAGTGTAGCTGGTCTGATAAACTCTGCAATTTTATGGCAACCACTGAAATTATGTAGTAAGTCCAAAATAAAATGATCAAGAGTATCTGTAAACATATACACACACACCTAAATTGTAACATCAAACTTTAGCTTTTCTTTCTCCTTTGCTTCAGTCTGTCCTCAAGGAAAACCAAAGCACAGTGCACAGAAGCCTGACTGTAGACAGTCATGTTACAACAAATGATCTTTGTATTTCATTTATCCAATGCTGTTAGCAGAAAGCAAACACAAATTTTGAAAAAAGAAAAAAAAATATTCCCAGAATCATTTCCACAGCCGCAGAGGCAAGCACAGAAAATATATTATTGTGACTGTGTTTTGTTTTCCAAAAGAACAGACAAATCAGGGCTGAGGACATCTTGTAAAAAGTCATGATGATTTATAACAAACCATTTTAGAACATATGCTGCATATGCATGGTTAAAACCATTACACAATGTTCTATTTTCCAGCTTACTTCTGCTCAGCTGCTGGCTTCAGAGGAGTAAAATATAATGAAGTGAAGGACAGAAAGGACAAACTCAGGTATCAGGCAGGGCACACCAAACCTACAGAATCACAGGGCTGACTAAAAAATGAACAGGGACACACTTCCATGCCAGCAAGCACCACTTACCCACACTCCAAACAGGGGCAGTAGTTCCCTGTGGTTGCTGTAGGAGAACTGGCTAAGCTTAATTAAAGAATGGCACATTTCTAAAGAGGCAAATGCCACAGGCTTTTTATGATGCATCTTGGGGGTTTAAATTTTGTTGAACTCAGTGTGGTGGGTAAACCTTGGCAGGTTCCAGACCCTACCCAGCCATGCTCTCATCAACCCCATTCCACAGGGTAAGAGGAAAGTAAGATGGAAAAGATTATTGATCAGGGTAAAGACAGAGAGATCACTTATCAATTACCACCATGGGCAAAACAGTGTCAGCAACTGCCAGGTGAAACAGATTGTGATAGTGAGAAACAAACCCAAGGAGATTAGAACAACACTGTGACCCTGCCCTTTTCCAGGCTCAGCTGCACTCCCCTGCCTTGTCCCTACTTAAACACACCTCCAGAGGCATCACTGACTTTGCTGATGGCCTCAGCTGTGGCCTGCAGTGGATCAAATCCTTAACAATTCCTTGCATCCTTGTCCCTGCCTCTGAGATCAAATCCTATTAGCAGTGTTTGAGGAATGCTCATGTCAATTCTTCTGTCTGAATGATGTGCACTATTCACAATTCCAGGGATTTCCAGTGTCACATTTCCCATGCATTTCCCATGTCACTGATTTTTTCACCCGAATTCCTGTGATATGGCTCACATGACCAGCTGTTAACCATAACCTGAATCATGCATGACTTCCAAACACACCCCTTTTTTCTTACTGTCATAACCTCTGCATAACAATTCCCTAAAACAACATTACACTTCAAACTCCAGCTGATACCACAAGATTGTATTTTACAGCTGTTATATTTCAGCATTTAAAAGCTCACAGTCTTTTCTATGATACCATCTGAATGAAATAATTTCTATTCCCCCTCTGCACAGATAGGGATTCCATTATGAGGCACCCTATCTCACGGGCAGGGTTCTTAGGGCTTATCACAATGCCACTTTTCTATTTACATAGTAGAATTGACAAACAGATTCTATCCATATTTTTGTTTACTGAGCCATTTTCTGTGTGGAAACAAATTTGATTTGAAACAGCTCTGAAGTCTAGCAATGGAGAAATCTAATATGTGTCTGTCATGCGAAGGTGGGTGAAAGGAAGTGCAGCAGTTAAAAAGTCAAAATGGAAAAAGAAAAATAGATGGGGGAAGCACTCAAGTTTTACAGCATTCTTCTAAACTTTATTTTCAAGACAATTTTTGCTACACAAGTCTCTTATTTCCTCAGCAAGTTTCTTAATCCTGCATGATTACTTCTTTGAGTTCCACCCCCTGGATCTATTTCATTTCAAAAACAGGAACACAGAAGAAAGATTTTTTTAAAATGAAGGACACTTGTCTTTAGCAGTCAGAATCACAAAGAGAAATGATGCTCACAAAGGATTCTATGATTGTTTCAGGACTGATAGGACTTAGTATTGGAAGAGTCTTAAGAACAGAAGAATTAAATTATGAAACAGAGCTGCAGAAACTTTCAAATAAGTGCTGTTCACTTCCCTTTCTCATCATTACACTTTCCCCTTTGTTAAACAGAGATCAATAAAATCATTCTGCTCGTAGGTAGTTGGCATCTCAAACCCATCCTCAAGCTATTTCTATACATTCAAGATGATTCATATGCAGAACTGCAGCATTTAATCTTCATGAAACAGAAAATGTGAGCTGAAACCTCATGAGAACTCCAAAATTCTCTCAGAACTATTACATAAATCCCATTTTAAAATGTTGTCAACTTTGAGAAAAGATCTGTAAATTATACCATTTCCTGAAGACTTTTTTTTTTCTAGGAAAATACTGCAGCATTCCAATACTCTGATACCACTGAGAAATTTGTTTTCAGACTAAAAGAACAGGAGAAACAAAGGCAGCAGCACAAAAATCCAAGTTTCCTACCTTTTATTCACCAAGTACAAGACTAGCTTTGGATCACTCATCCTACCAGGAATTTCCCAGTAAAAGGGAGAATGCTGGTAGGAGCAGCCTCGAGCTTGTGATAGTAACAGTTCCTCTGGCAAAGTGTGAAGTGCAGATGGTGTCAAAGATATGCCAATAACTTAGGCAGGAGCTTCCAATAAAATCTCTTGTAGTGCTTATTACACCCTGTGAATCACAGTGAAAGGGGCAGCCCGGGATCTCTGGCTCTTTCATCCCACACAAGGCAGTTTAACCACTGCACATCCAAGTGCATCCCCCAGGGAAAAGCCTGCACTCCAGATGCATTTGTGGCTGTCCCAGGCACGAGCTACCTCTAAGCAAGTCAATTCACAGTCTGCAGAGAAGCCAAATCATCATCAGAAACACAGGAATTACTTCTACCTGATCTGCCTTCCAGTGACAAAACCATAAAAAAAAGGGGTTTTCTCAAGTATTCCTTTGAGCTCTTTCCAGCTCATCGTGGCATTCAATGATCAAAATAGAAATGATCTTAAGCATGATAACCTGCTCCTGCCTATGAGTGTTGCTCAGAGATTTCAAACCATAGACAAGCCACACTAAGGCTTCTACCAGAAACCAACAATGCACTTGTAACACCATTGTCCATGTAATTAAGCTTCTCTTTCCCAAACTGGAGATTGGAATGCACACTGCAGATGAGATCATTTACTGACAGAAAACTAACACATAAGGTTTAAACACTGAAGTGGCATCTCCATGTTGGTGTATCTGTTTTAATTAGTTTTACTTTTCATGTAGGGTAAATAAAACATTAAGGAGTCAGCCAGACAGAGACACCACAAACTGTTTTTCAAATAGCTCCATGAAATGAGCAAGAATAAAGCTTGAAGAGTGTTATATTTACCTCTGTAGCTCCCAGGGCACTTTTAAGAACACTGGGTCAGGTACACTGAGACACTGAGAAAATGTGCAATTTCTTTCCCACTGAGCTGTCAAGGCATTCATGCTGTGAATAGCTAACACCCTTCTTTGACAACCAGGCAAATATTTCTATTTTCTGCCATTCTAGGCATGACGTATCTCCATGTTGCCTCAGTTGATTTAGTGCCAATTCAAGTCAAACTTTAGATGTCTGAGCCAGTAACCGGACAAAATATTCTTGATGAAGCCTTGTCACAAAATCATAGACTGCTGCTTAATACATTTCCAAATAGTTAGATAATAAAAAGGGCTGTAAAGCTGAAAAAGCTGCAGAGAAGCAGAACACACACTCACTGAAGAGCCAGAATGGAGATTTAAGCAGCACATACAAGTCAAATATGCTGCTGCTTCTATTTATCGTTAAACATTGCTTCAAAAACATCCCACATAAAATTATATAAGATGATGTTGTCCCTTGAGACTATGTTGTTCCTTGAAATCAATTCTGTACTTCCCACCTTTCAGAAAGAAGCATAATTAATAACCAAGTCTATCTGGGCAAGGCTAAATGAACACACCCTATTCAAGTGATAGTAGCATATAGATACCATAAACATTATTTTCTGTTAATACTTAAAAAATATAAATATCTAATTACATTTCACTTGTACCTACTGACCAAATATTTTAATTTCTGATACTATGAAAGAGGAAGACAGAATGAAGGGACTGATTCTTTCAGTGGGGACAGATCCTGTGAAAAAAGCTCTGAAAGCACTGGATCAGTACTTCACAGTCCTGGCTTTTGTTCATGGGATAAGAAGAGGCAGGTAATAATAATGGTCCGGCGTGTGAATACTCAAATACAAAACACAATAAACCATTCAGAGTGCAGACTTTGTGCCAAGAATTTAAAGCACTTTTGAGACTGGATTCCATCCTTTAAGCCATGCTGTATTACACAGTATTTCCTTACTCAGAGCCTCTCCTTCCAGCAAGATTTGGTTTAGTGTTTCAACTCCCATTTTTACAATCTGCAGAGAATGAAAATGCACATTCAGTGACTAAGCCCTGACCAGTACTTACCAATGCTGGCATAACCAGGTGTGGATGGATCTCCCCCGCTGTTCAAGGAGACCATAAAAGCTTTGTCAGCCAGGTCTGCAGTCTTTGGCAAGTCACAAGGATCCGTGTAAACAAGAACACCACCAAACCCTGCGTCTTCCAGCAGAGAAAGCTGAGGAAACAAAGCAACACAGGTGACCATTAACAACAGCAGTGTCAAAAAACATCTTTTTTTTTCTTTTAATTACTGCTGAGATAGATAGAGGCTTTCTCATGCACCACGTTCTCATCACAGATTGCTCTGTGCCAAGCTGCACTGCCAAAGTGCTTGTAGCACCTTAACAGGTTTACCTGTGATATAAACACCACCCTGAAAATGCCTCAGTTTTGAAAATAATGTCACTAAAACATCTTGAGTTGACCTTCCCTATTTTCCATGTTATTATCTGTAAGATTTTCTTGCTTAGTTTACCTCTTCAAGGACACAGCACACACTGAATGTTTGCCTACAGAGGCATCAGGATTTCTGAACACAGTTACTCTTCAGTTAAGAGAGAAAACAGAAGTTTACAGAATATTAAAAAAATAAAATTAAATTTAAAACTCCAGTCTATCTTACTCAAATGTTTGGATCTGCCTCCTGTCAGACAAATAGCTTTTATTTTGTCTCATTAGAACATCAAAGTTTGAGTTGGAACTGGAAATTAGTTTCCAAATATCCACAGATCTGGGCCAGAATATCAAGCAAACTTCCCCAAAGTCAAGGACAAAAGCATCCAAGTGCCATAACCTGCAGCAGCTTTTCTGACTGGAAAACCTCAGGTGTTTCTTTCATAGAGAACTGAAAAATAAGAGGATCTTATTCCAAAATGGCCAAAATCAAATTGTAATGTGGCAAATACTCCCATGAAATGAGATGACCTTTCTGTGTAATGCTCTGCATATTTGGAATGGACTGAAGACTACTCACTGATACAAAGCTGGATTAATTTTTCAGACAGAAGTAATTCAGGTATTTAAGAATTACCTTACTATTCACTGGGCTGCTCTACTGATGACTTTCCAAATGTCTCCAAATGGTCTGAGGAATGACTGCAGGTATATGATGTTTCCACACAACTCTGATTTCACAGGAACCTGAGGACTTTTCACTACACCTCTGTTTCTCAGTTCAATTGTCTTCTTCCTTCTACATTTTAGAACCTTCTTTTTCTTCTTGTGCATGTATATAATTTTCAATTTATCTCCTAGCTGCTGGTATTAAGGAATGTTTATGAACAGCTCTTTGTGGCTTTACAAGTATGTAAATTACACGGATATATGGCATTCAGTCTGAGCCTCATAAGCATTTGGTGTTCAGTTCTGCTTTACTCAACAGCTAAGACAGAAAAGAATATAAAAATAGCAGCCTAGTATTTGCAATATGCTAAAAATAGCAAAGTACTATTTGCCAATTCTGTAAGTAAATATATCTAATATTGTGCTTTGCTAAGACCTTGACACTCATCTTGCATTCAGATACCTTGAATTCAGATAAGCAGATGCAAGTTGAACCTGTGAGTCACTTAATCCCACCTATCTTACACAAACAAGCAATCCACACCACAGATGAAAAGGGATTCTTTGAGAGAACTCTAGTCAGATGAGCAGGAGAATGAGAAGGTGATTAGCTCAGATGCAAAAATATATTCCAGACCTTAAATGTAATGCAGGAAAAGGGATTTCCCAAATGGTAGGTTCATTTGTTATTGTTTTGTTCTGTTTTCAATTCATGTTCGTATTCAGATATTCAGACAAGATTTGATTGCACAAAAAGTAGGGTGGGAGAACTAGGGACACATCACAGCTAAATGATGTAACAGGCAGGATTTAAAATAACTATTGCCTTTTCCTACCTCCATATCCAGTATCTTTTTATTAATCCCTGGTTTACTTAGTAGCACACAAAACACAACATACAGAATTTTTTTTAAGGGAGTTTTAAAAACTTTGCACTTAAAAAAAAACCCAACAAAACAAACTATTGAATTCCTCAGTTTTAGTGAGAGAAAGTAACTACATGTCTGCTATTCACAAAGTGCAGCAGCCACTGCTGCCATGGCTACAATCTCTAGTAAGAAGTTGTGTCACACATGTGAAATTACAAAGCAGCTTTCAGATTTCAGCTATAATTGCTGCTTTTTAACTTTACAACAGTGACAGCACAACTATATCAACAATAAATGTGCATTGTTGATTCCATTTTCATCTTAAATACGTCAACACTTTACCAGCCATAAATTGTCCAAGCACAAAGAAGCCAAAGAAAGTTCTGCATATTTTTTTTACAAGGCAGAAGATTGTAGATTAATTCCTTCAGGTAAACCAGTGAGCATCTATTCAAATGAATGGATTTTAGATTATTTTAGATTGCAAAACCATCCAACAGCAAAATCTACTCCTTATGATTTTGGATGTATGCATTGTCCCTCTCCCAAAGCCATAAACATCTCAGAACTAACTGGAAACAGCAGAACCCTTGAAAACAGATGCTGGTGCCCACTGTTAACCCTTTAGTTATTTATGGCTGCTTAAGTGCTCAGTTTTTAGAGTTACCTTAAAAAATGTGACTGTTTCAATTCAGTATATTAAACCACCCCATAAAACATTCTGGACTCAATTCAATCTAATGTGAGACACCTGCTGCTTTCCCAAAGGCCCTGTCATGTACCTGGGGACAGTTTAGCCCTGTAAACCCTACACACCACCAGGAACCATTAAATTGCCTTTTAAAGATGATATGGCTGAAGCAGTGAAGAGACAGACTGCAACAGTCTAGAGAACTCTGGCTCTAAGGGAAAACTCAAAGCTGCTTCTCCATTTTAACTGCACCATCTCTGAGGTGTGGCAGAGGAAACATTTCCCTTTTGCACTGGCACAGGTAACAGAGCCCAGCTCCCTGCTCCACATCTCAGACAAGCTTTTCTGGGGGACTTTGGCCACAAACCTACTGGCAGATATTGGGTCCAAACCAAGCAAGCTGAGCATGACTATTTGCTGAGGAAAAAGAAAAGAAGTAACAAGAAACAGGGGCCTTTCACAGGGGGCTTTAATGTGTTTTAGCTCACCTGAGGCCAGTGTGCACCTGAATGAACACTTAATTAGGGGTTATATTCATGATCTGAACACAGAACCTACCAAAGAGAACAGACTGCAGCCCCTGTGAATCTCCAGCATCATGCATAAAAGCTGCCCATCAGTGACTGGTGATAAGCAGGGAAGCAGAGCAGCAGGCACTGGTCTCAAGCTGTGTTTGTTATCTTCCACCTGAGTGCTAAGTCTGACTCTCTGGAGATCTTTTCCCTTGCTCTCTTCTTCTCAGCTGAGACCATCCTTGCACCTTGTAAGCACCACACAGCACAAAACCAATCAGGTAATCAGCCTTCATTATTTTCCAGGGGCTACACTGGACTGGTTACCTGCTAAGCCCAGAGCTTCAGAAAATTAAAAACATGCACACTGAGTGTTCCAGCTGTACCCTCTCTTTCCAGCTGAAAATAAAGCATGACTGAAGCAGCTCTACTCTGATGTTCTGTGCATGGGAGCCACATCTGGGCTCGAGTTTAAGCTTTCATTTCATGGGCAGAGAGCTGAAAATCACATCACACTTTGGTCTCACCTGGATCACAGCATCCATGAGTACAGAGGGTTTCCTACACTATTCTCTCACTGCATCTGAACAGCTTAGATCCTGTTTCTAGAACCTCTGATCCAGCAAGACCCCAATGTTTAAAGATAATTAAATAAGCATGGAATCTTTTCCCTCCCATTTTTTGATTATCAGCAACAGTCCTGCTACAAATAATTTAGAAAGTAGCAATGCATGATTCCTAACAGTGATGGTCAACAACGTTTATGAATGCACCAGGAAAAAAGAGAAAAAGATGATGCAAGCAACTGTGGGTTATATCAACCTGCTAATTGCATATACAAATAACTTCTCATTATTAGCAATTCTTCTCACCATATTTGCAAGTAGTTCCAAAATATGGACAAACCTCCAGAGAACCCACTGCACAAACAATTCTCCCCCTTACAGTATCAGCAGTACCTCATAAAGTTTGTGCTTTATGAGGTACAACACCAATATTGCAAATATTGCCTAAGTCCCTTTCTAAGCTTGTCCATTTATGTGTCCTGATCCACAGAAGTCACTGAGCTGCTGATTAGTTGGCACAGAAAACTTATTTCACAGGAGGAAATATCTCAGTATATTCCCTGCAAGTTTAATGAAAGTGGGATCTTGAGCAGACAAGAGGCAGATGCTGTTAATACATGACTGAGAAGGCATTAATAAAAACTGAAGAGCTTGCTCCTTAATGGAAGAGGGAAAAAACATGGAAGAAATCAAGAGACAGGTTGGCAGATGTAAAGGAATACAGAAACTTGTCCACAGATCAGACACCACAAAATCCAGCCTCAAGAAACAGAGCTGTGAAAAACCTGTTCACTAATCCATAGAACAACCGGTTCTTTTATTGAATGATACATTATTTAAGATAAAGCAGTTCAGTACAAGATACATTGGCTTACAATTCTATATAGCAAGTGACTTTGCCACCATGGAAGGTTCCATTCTTACTCAAAACAAAATTTGATTTAAAATACAGCAACTTCCAAACACATTCCACCACTTGCAGAGAGATTTTCAAATCAAATTTTAGAGCTAGGAAAAAAAATTATCCAGATCTCTTAATTTTACTATAGGGTCCCTACTGTTATTAGGGTCAAGAGAAATCCAGTGGCATTTTCTTATCTAATTCTGCTTTCAACTCTTTCAATAATAGTAATATAATAGTAAATGAAACATTATAAATTAGCTGCACAACAGTATTTAAGGGTTCTATTTTGGTATGTATCATGTACTATGATAGTACATTTTAAAAGTCCCCATTTCAAAAAGCCCTTCAAGCATACCTTGATGTCTGAGGTCCAAAGTGCCTAAAAATGTAGTTCTCATCTTCAGAAGTCACTTATGTGAATGGCTATCACACTATTGAAAGTGTATCCTCACTCCTGTACAAAAATAATCACACTAATAGATAATATTAGGGTGCCCACTGAAACTTCTCAGAGGTTTCTGAAGGTTTTTCTGTATCAAAAATATATCTGTGTCCAGCAAAGTAACAGAAC